CTTTGCAGCCAGTCCTGAAGATACCTGATAAACCAGTATCAGCTGAAAGGGGAGGAGGTCCTCCCCTATCAGTGGACTTGGAAAGGGGCAAGGAGGAGATGAGGGTGGGAGGATGGGATTGGGAGGGAAAGAGGGAGCAAGTTACAGCAGGGATACAAAGTTAACAAACTGTAACTAATATTAAAAAATTTTTTTAAATGGAGAAATAAAAGAAAAGAAAAAAGGACTTGATAAAGAAAAGTAGAAACATACTAAATTGTAGATCTAACATTAATGTATTTACTTTCAAAGTCTCCTACATACTCTGAGAACTTTGATGTAACTAGAACGTTATACATAGATATTCACATTATTATTCACATGTTAATTGCTTGCTAAGAACACTGTCAGCCAAAGTCTGGACACTGGTGTAAGTGCTATAGCTCTGAGGGGAGAGGCTTCCACAAGGGAAGTAGAAGTGTTAGAGCTCTGAGGAAGAAGGTTTCCCCAGTGCAAGTGTTAAAGATCTTCTCCAGGGCGAAGGGGGCCATTTCACCAATACAAGTGTTGCACAGCTCTGTTGGGGCTGTTTACAGTGTTACAGTTTTTAAAGGAAGTGTATTCTGGCCATTGAGGGCCAATGAATACCACAAAGTCACAGCACAGCACAAACCTCACCTAAGAGACTTATTGAAAGAGAAAAATCAAGGAGGGTGGCTCCTTCTGCTGGGGGGTGGATAAGGCCTTACAGCTGTTAGAGTGGTCTATGGGGGGAGCCTGGCAGTTGGAGGCCTGTTCAGGAGTGGAGGCAGGCTACTCTCACAATTGAGGATCTTAAAATTGGAGAAGTAGGCATCACTGAAGAAGTTAAGGAAAGGATTTCAAGCATTTCAAGGCTTAAACTAAAAGAGCCAATGCTCTTGTATCATACAATTACTCTAAACCAAAATATGCACAATTTCTGTATACTGCCATAGTACTGATCTGATTCACCATTTTTCTCAGGTTTATGTTCTTCTTACTTTCTCCATTTTGAAAATGCTTTTTTTTTTGGTATTATGTATACATTAATACTGTCTTTTTATTCTTTTTAATTTATTCATTTTACATCCTGATTGTAGCTCCTCCCTTGTCTCCACAAGGTCCTACTCTCTCTCCCTTTTCTTCCCTATCCCCCTCTCTCAGAAAGGGGAGCTTTCTGCCTTTACCAAATGGCCAGAGACTATCAAGTCTCTTTGGGACTATCTGCATCTTCATTATAAGATTATCATACAGAACTCAGAACAACTACCTCTTTAAAAACAAATCCTGATTTTTAAAGAAGTATTTGTGTTGTTGTTGTTTGTTTTTAATTTTTAGAGACAGGGTCTTACTTTGTAGTCCTGGCTGACCTGGAACTTTCTATGTAGACCATGCTGGTCTAGAACTCACAGAAGTCTACCTGCCTCTGTTGAGGGAGTTCTGTGATTAAAGGCATGTGTCACCACATCTGGCACTCAGCCTGTTCTCAATGCAACTGGTAGTTACCAGTGAATTCAAAAAACAGCAACACTGACAACAACACAGAAATGATATATAAATTTTATATAAAATAAGATCAATATCAAATTTTGGGATCTAGTTTCTTTGTTTGTTTACTATTCTATTAGTTTCCAGTAGGAAATAAATTACCAAGCACAGATGTAAGCTGTACCTGCTGGTGAGTAATCATGTATGCCTGAGTTTCAGAAACCTTTAGTTCTAGGGAGAGTCAGGCATTGAGAACAGCAGGCTAGACAAGGAACTGACCCTTAGAGATTCTGGTTGCTAGATATTTGTCCAGCCTTTGAATACTATACAGACTTATTTTTCAGCTATGAAGTGATAAACAAGTTTCACATTGATTACTTCAACACAACATGAGTTCTGAGACCCTGTCGTCTAGATCACACATTCAGGACTTGTTTGCAGCACAGAAGAATTGTATGTACTACAAGCCATTAAAGTATGTACTTCTCTCCATAGTTTATAATAAGAAAATACAAATTGGTAGCAGTTAGCTATCTTTAATTTCTGTTTTGAGTCTTACTTAATGTATTTGAAATATTCTTAAGAAAGATAATTATATTAGAAGTACAGCATAACACTATTATTTTAGTGAGTTGTTCTGCACTAATTGTAATAAAATCTATTTATCATTGTGATGGGCAGGAACCTATAAAAAAGTGATTCAGTTATGGGGCCTCACTATTATCTTGAGTTATTTTATTAATAAAGAACACATTCCCTGTATTAATCTCTGACCTTCACTATTTCTATCACTTTCTCTTTTTCCCTCCTCCATCCTTCCATATCATACTTAATGTCCATGCCAGGATCTTGGACTTCCAAGACTTCAGAAGCAAATATCAATATATCTTTGTTGATTATAAATAACTCAGTCTCATATTCCCATGAAAACAGGATCTCCTATTCCTATATTATTATATTTATGTTCCAATTTTATTATTTATGATGTATGTGTGTATGAGAGATCTATCTCTGCCTCTCTGTGATTATCTCTATTATCTCTATCTATTTCTATATTATCCAGTGGTTTATAAATTATCTCTTGAAATGGTAGCATGTGGGATCTAGAGTTTTCATCATTAACTGCAACAATTTATCTCGTTGTTAAAGAAAATGCTTCCTGCTGTCTTGGTAACTGGGTTTTAAGTATGCAGAGATTTATTTTATGATGTGTTCTGATGAAGGTTTTGGTTAGATGATAACAAAAAGCTTAGCAAAAAAATATGCAAAAAAATTAATGGTATTAAAGCAGAGACTGAGACTTGTAGTCAAACTTTGGACAGATTGCATGAAATTTTATGAAAGAAGAGGGAGATAGAAGGGACAGCTTCCTGTCCTGGAAAGAACAGGAGCTCCAAAAGGAGACCAACAATCCCCCCCCCAAAAAAAAAACTGGGCCCTAGGAACCCTGCAGAGACTGATACCTCAACCAAGGACCATGCATGGAGAGGACCTGAAACCTTGGCTCAGATGTAAACCATAGACTCAGACTCCAAATGGGTTTCCTAATAAGGGGAGCAGGGGTGTCTCTGACATGGACTCAGTGGCTGGCTCTCTGATCACCTTCCCCTGGGGAAGGTGCAGCCTTGCCAGGCCACAGAGGAAGACAATGCAACCAGTCCTGATGAGACCTGATAGATTCCTGTCACACAGAAGGGGAGGAGGACCTCTCCTATCAGTGGACTAGGGGCGAGGCATAAGGAGAGAAGAAGGAGGGTGGATGAGACTGGGAGGAGACAAGGGGTGGCTACAAAGTGAATTATAGTAATAAATAAATAAATAAATAAATAAATAAATAAATAAATAAATAAATAAAT